ATTTCTGCCCTTAACTGAGTTATTAAGTCCTTGATTTCATCCAAATCTGCAGTTGCAGAACGGCATTTTTGACATTTAAATTCAATAATCTTTCTATCCTTGGCTCGTATACATTGAACTTCCACTTGCGATAACCCTGCACATTGTGCATGAATATAAGATTTGCACTTATCACAACACACCTCCTTGTCAGGATTTAAATTAGCATGACAGTGGTTACATAAATTAGGCATTTTTGACTAAATAATTATTAATTTAGTGCAGAGAAACCAAACACGTCTGAACACTACCGCTACAAATACAAATACCCCTTACGTACTACTGTTAATTAAATTTAACCTTTAAGTTACACTGTCAAATTCAAATTCTACCCTACTATAGGATAATTTTTAGAAACGGTAGGCCATTACAGTAGTAACAGCAAATTTTCTGAGGGCCTCTGGTTGCGTATTGGAAACAAAGCTGTGCCAAAGAGGAATACAAAAAAAAACGTGCATGAAAATATGAATATCTCACGTATTGCAATTTCCAATACAATTCACGAAATTGTCATCAACAAAATTAGGGATGCATATTTTTTGGCGTTAGTTTTCGTGTAGGTACATGCATTTTATTTTATTAATAAAATGGAAACTTGAAACTGACCTGATCAATCTTTCACCAAATCGCTAAAACTGGCGCACAAATGAAATGCACTGCGTGCGGTTTATCGTCGAAGGCAAAACTAATTTCGCAATACCTTAGAAATTAACTGAAGATGACGCGTTCTTAACCCGACTGGTTTCTCGTTATCACATTGCCATTACGCATAACTAAATAATTTGTTATGTCGATATTGAATAGATTTTTCAAGTTCTTTTATCGTCAATCATATCCTCATTGAGTGTCATCTTCTTTCCATTGCTTGTCTGATTCCTGCACATTCCAAGAACGCCTTTGCCTTCCTCTGTTCTTTTTCCCAGGATGTATCCCTGTAAAAACTCGTTCTGGCCACATGTCGTCATACCCATTAAGTATCAAAACCGCCCCAGACTTCCCAATTCTTTCTGATTTACAGGAAAGAGTTAAAGGGGCGCAAAGGAGGATGGTAGGTTTAGTCTAAACCCTTATATCGCGGGATGAGTTGAGTAACGACGGATGAACGTTTCGACGAAGTTTAGAAACATCGTTTCGAATTCCATTTCTAGGGTAAATGTAAATGAATCGACGTACCGTTTATAGATCATGAAATGCGATTTCGTGACATCCTGGTTAAATAGTTTAGTTTCTAAATTATTTAGGAAGATGTCAATCAGAAGCGAGGAGAGATCGTTTGTTGAATTTGAAAAGGCACTAAGATACCAATGATCTTCTTTTTCTAATAAATATAATTTCCTATTATAACAGTTTTATTTCTATGGGACGCATACTGGGTGTCGAAGATAGGCATTCCCAATCCTTTCAAATATGACCCGAATGTGTTATAAGTTGGTTTTAGAGGCCGAAACATCGATAAAGATTTTTACAAATTTATCGATGGATTTCAGCAAGACCTAAGGCTTATCTTCATTTGACATTTAGCAATATTATAAATCGTCCAGTAATCTACGACTGTACTGTCAATAATGTTGACAAAAGGACGCCACCACAATTTCCTCTCATGAGCTTTAGTTTGACAGTTGTATTTATTGCAATAAACTGAACGATTGAAACTTCTTTTCGTTCTTTTGTATAAAATCTTTTCAGCTTCAGCAGGATTCATTTGTTAGTTATACCACAGATATACGTTTCTTTACGTATATCTGTGGTTACACCATTGAATAAGTAATTACTTACGTAATAAGTAATTATTTATTCAATGGTTATACTCTTACCACCGCGCTATCGTTCCAACATTATATCACAAATATTGTTTTGGATATCAAATGCGTGATCAAAGAAATCCAGTTGCAAACATAAACCTCTCTTATCAGTCAATACAAGGAAATTCTTTATACTTATGTATTTAAGGACTTCCAGTAGCTCGAAGTCCCATGCTGGATTTGACTTCTTTGATACACCTCCATACGAAATGAATAGGAATAAATACCTCCCGGAAGAACAAATGCACCATAATTTATACTGGAAATGACAGGTTCCAAAGGTTTATAATCATTCACTGGCGAAACCTTAACATACATTTTCATGGGTGGACTAGAACGAGATTTTGAGGATTTAGTGCCATAACAACCACTCCCTGGGATAGGGGGGTACTCGAGGACCTAGTAATGGTCAAGAGATTCCAGGTCAAGACAGGCGGATGTTTTCAGTATTGAGGAAGATGCCTTGGTCAAACTAATGGCTATAGGTGGGAGACTTCAACGTGAAAGTCAGGACTGGTAAAGCTTACTGCGATACAATGTCACCAATTTATGACACAAGCCTCCGCTCACCCTCCTCTCGAAATCAATGACTTAAAGTATATGTTAACATTCGCTCCGATATTCTGCGAACCCACAATGATACTTTTACCAAACTTAATTATCTGAAAATGTGCGAATGTGTCGGTATATGAACTCAATAAGGGGGATAGTTATTAATTACAATATAATATAAAACAATTAGGAAAGTCACGCGACGCTGAAATAATGGGTTATGCTTGAATTTCCAAAACCATTACCGGAAACTTTATTTTAATTAAAAGGTGTAAATAAATTGGTACAGTTGGAACTGAATATTGAAATACCCCCAACCTATCAGCCCTAAGCATCATATTTTAGCTTGTTTTTTTTAGATACTACAGGTATACACAATTTTCAGGATTAGCATTATGTTACTTTACGTTAACTTTATATTCCATTGAGGGAAAGTAAAACAACCAAAAACAGTGGCAATTTTTTTTAGAACACGATGCAATTTACAAGTTAAAATTAATATTACCACCTTCCCTAATGGAACCGTATCAAAACAAAGATAGCACACATACCTAATTTCGTATAATTATTTTGCTTTATGAAAAAGAGCGATTATGCTATAGATCGTTCGTTTTTGTTTATAATTGAAATTAGGAAATTTTTGCTTTTATTTAGATTGATCAGATAATGTGAAATAAGTTGCAGGTGTGTTTCCTTTTTGTAGATTTTCCTTTGTGTTAGACATTATTTGTTAAGCTTTATGTTCGTATGTGAACGTTGCTGTCGAGGTTGCTGTTATATACATACAGGGTGTCAATTTTAAAACTTGCAGTCGGGCATATTTTCCAAACTAAAGAAGATATTGAAAATCGCCCAAAACAATTTCGGGAGTATCGAGGGGGAACCAGAATGACGTTATAGGTGAGTTGCTTTTAAATTTTGTGTTTACAAACCCAGTAAATTTCTTGTGTAGTTTGGGCAAGCCGAGTCTGCTTTACATTTTTTTTTTTTTAAATAAATGTAATGTTGGTTGTAAATCTAGTTTTTGTGGCATTCTGAACTCATTTTCAGTGACGAAGGGTGGGGTGACAGTTTCATTTATTTTTTTAAGTGTTTGCACTAAAGTTTTGCGTTTTTACCTGGCGATACAAAAGTCCGATTGTATTGTAAAAAAGGCGTTCAATCATCCAATTTTCCAATTCGCTGCTACCTTTTCAAAAGAGAAAATTAGCTGTCAACGGGAGAACAATTCAACTCGGCGATAAATTCATTTTCTAGAGTCGATTTACGGGAATTTATCCCGTGAACCAATTTGTGTATTTTTTTATAAACGATAAGTAACCCAAACAAAGATAAAGTAAGGTTTTTCTTTTTATTTGTGAAATTGATTTTTCTTAGTTCATTAATACCATTTTTTTCTACGGGTTAAATTTTATTTAGTATCCAGAAAAATTTATTTGAATAAAATTTTGTACCAAGGGTTTGATTAGTTAGAAATATTTAAAAAAATCTAGGTAATTAATTAGATTTGGACGTGAACATAAGACAGAGTTTAAATATTATTTTGTATTAATTACATCATGTACATACATTTTTTAAATCACAAAAAAATGTAAAGAAAACTGGAGTTGGTGCGATATTATTTTCAATAATATCTTTAAACAATTCAATTTATGTGACTACTTATTTGAGAGTGATCAAACTAGAGATCAGGTTTTAATTTTCAGATTGATTGTGGACATATTCCTTTCGAAAGATAAAAGTCATTGAACATTTATTAATTACCGAGCTACCCGTGGTATTAATGATTGCATTACAAACAATTAATTGTTTCAATAAAATTTTTACTAGTGCCGCAGAGAATAAAATTTATTTTCTACAAGAGCGGTCTCTAATCCCTGTAAAGTAACTAGCTTATACCATATTACAAGATTCGCTTTGAAGCACACTTCATAAGTTGAACCTAAAAGTTAAATTATATCTGGGGTGAATATGTTTGCACCAAACTAAATATAAATAGAAAACAAATAAATGACAAATTTTTACCATCCCCACGTTAGTAAAGGGAGCAATGGGGTAAAAATTGACCCCCTCCTCCCACTTTTTTTGCGGAACTACACGTTTTGAAGCACCAGGAATTCGAATCAAACAAGGTCTCGATGATGTCGGTCTGTCGGTCTGTCTGTAGTCTCATTTCCTTCTAAATTTGGTCCACATATTCTTAGACATAAAAGAGCACGCACGCGTAATGATCACGTACTTTAGATTTGGCGTACTTCCACATGGGCAAGGGAACCATATATGTATATTTTTTAGTAGCAACCACTATGTTTTATTACATATTTTAAAGTGCACAGAAGAGTATACATGTAATGAAAACTAGTGGCCGTCATTAAAAAAAACAAGCCCCCTCGTTACCATGCAGAAGTACGCCACTGGCCACAAATTTAAAGTACTTACGTAGATTGGTCGCAAACAACTTTTTATAATTTTGGACAACATGAAGGGCTTCAAAAGATGTTCTTTTGAAGATGTATTCAGTGTTCCAGACAACATTTATGAGTAATTTACTGTCAAAACGTATTGGTTTTAACTTAGTATCCTTGTGATTTTTTGTGCTTGTTTCAGAAAGCGTCACCAGTCACTTCATGGGGACTGCAGCATAAGAGGACACTTATTGTTTCGACAACGCTACCTACACTTGGAGACAAAGCTTGGGAGTAATCATAATTTGCATCCTCTTTGGAGGCTCGAAGAAGTATCACTTAACAACACTTTCCTACAAGATAAATAATTTCGTTATCAACTACAAGTTCGCCTTTCTTAGAGTTATCGATTAAATTTTCAGAAGTATCACTGCTCGTAACATAAACACCATAAAAGCCAACAACTCTGCACATTGATTAATATTATTACGTTTAACAAGTCTCCGTTACGATGAGTTCTTAGCTAGGAAATGTTCGATTAAATTTTAGCCGTTTACGGTGCTAATTATTCTTTAAAATTACTTCTAGATATTGCTACGATTTTGGGTCTTTCAGTTAGGTTATTTTTCGTACCGTAAATGTCCACATCCGGACGATTTCGATAAAATTATCTATGCATGACTATTCGTCGCGATTGAAATATTGACAAGAGGACATGAAATTTTCACAAGTACTTAATACGTACGTACCAATTTGTAATACGTTCTGTATTCAACCCACTACTTACTCCAATCTTCATGGGGCGGTTTACTATATCAAGAAGGAGTACCTATAATAGTAGTTTATATTACATTTTACACACGCAATTCAGTTAGTGTGCTACATATATAAGTTCTCTCTTTGGAAAAATAGCATTCGCCTTTTTTTCTAAATGGGAATCTCACAAAACACCGACGCATTTAAGTTTCAAAGACTATTAATGGAAACTGCGGGATTTTGGCCAAGAAGAGAAGCCTCAATTTTCTACCTGATTTACGGATTATCTGCCTACGGAATTGTGGTATTATTCGCAGTGTCTTTGCTATTGAGTACCATGGTTGTGAAAGATTTTAAACAGTTAATTCTAGGATGGTCGATGTTTACAGCCATGCTCAATTGCTCACTAAAATTTACGGTTTTCCGTGTTAAAATGCCGGCCTTTTTGGAGCTTTTGGACTTCATTCGTTCCCCTCATTTCTTTTATCACAGAGAGGAGTTCGACCATCACCTCAAACGAATTATTAAAATTGCGACTGTTGTGGTGAAGCTGTTTTTTTGTAGCGGCATGACCACGTATACCTGTTTAATATCGGCTCCGTTATTTTCGAAAGAGGAAAGAATCACGCCGTTTCCGTTTCCGTTAGACTTAAAACAGTATTCTGTCATGGTTTACATTTTGGTGTACGTTTTTCAAAGCGTTGCTCTTTTTGCGGCTGCTTGGATAAGTATCGGATTCGATAATTTATCGACGGGAATGATGGGTCTGTGTTCCGCGTATTTTGCTATTTTACGTCAAACTATAATTTTTGCGACTGAAGAATTTCGCAATGAAAAACTCGATAACATCAATTTGTATAGTAAACATGATAAGCAAATTTACAGAGATTTGAGTGACTGTTCGACTCATCACCTTGCTGTAATCAGGTCAGTCGATAGGTATGTGCATGTAATATTACTAAGCTTTACATTTCTTGCAGCTTTACACAACAAATCGAGAAGATATTCTCTTATGTGTTCTTAAGCCAATTCTTATGCAGTGCTGGCGGCATTTGCCTTTCAGGATTCACGTTTATAAACGTAAGTCGTAAACTTTTACGGCACAAATTCGGCACGAATCAGTCTACATAGTTCCGAGATATGAAAAGCGAAAAGCACCGGCACGAATGCGGCACTAACCATTGCAAAAAATAATTAATTACAAGTCTTAATGCACATAATTTGAAATATTTTGCGAATTTGCGGTAGTCGGCAGAACAGCGCGGTAGTTTCATTGGAACGGTACAGAAATCTCGAGCGCCACCAGGAGGTTTCAACCCTTACTCGTGGTAATAGCGGCGGTTTCCGAACAGAACTTCGAAACCTATGGGTACTCAGACGGAGAAATGGAAAACTCCAGGGATCATTGGGGCAAATGACGGCCGTCGGAAACGGTAGCGCTTACCCAAATCGGAAGGGAAGCACAAATTATAACGGTATAGCTACGGGAAAAGGACACAAGTAAAGCAAACCCCCTTTATACCTATAACGGAATGAAAATATCAAGCGCTTACCTTGAAATTAAACCGGTGTCGTGAAATTAAAAAAAAACTAAAACGGGCTAAAACGCACGCGAACAAAGGGAAAACTGCAAATGATCCCCTCTAAACCATGTTTTTACGTTATACAGGGTGTTCGTTTAAAAACTTCCCACTGCGGATTTATCGAAAACCACTGATTAAAGAAAAAAACACCGAGACACGTTAAAAGATTTGTCAAGGGGGACAACTTTATTTTGATGTTTGATTTTTTTAAATCGGTCGATTCGTTTTCATGAAAATTTGAAAAATCTTTATTTAATTTATTTTTCTTCAAACGTCATATAATATTGACATTACGTAGCCCAGCACTCTGAGTTAAAGTTTGACTTTTTAGAACAATCGAACAAGCGGCAGTGAAGTATTTTAGTGCCTAGGCATTAAAACGCTTCAGTGCCAGTGTCACATTGTTTTGCTTTGACAATTTGATGTTATTTACATTAGGTTCTTGGTTCACCTAGTAAGTGCGTTGATCTTTCCTTCTAATTTTAACAGAATAAAAATATAGTCGATCAAAGAAGCTATTTATTTATTTAAATAATAGTTAATGTTGAAAGTGCAGTTAGTCATATTACCATTATTGAAATTAAAACCTGAGCTCGTTCCTGCAGCATCCAAGTTTTGAAGAGTCAAGTTTTGTTTAGCTTGTCTTATTTGAATGAATGAAGTATTTTCAAAAACTGGATTGGTTTATGCTTCAAATGGAGTAGTTGAAGTCATTCCATCTGATAAACCTTGATTTTCTAAAGTTGTCGAAAGTATTTTTTGGGCAATTTCATTTTTATTTGAAATCGAGTCTTCTATGTAACCTTCAGCCACACAATTGGACTTCTAGCCACCATGTCTCTTTAAACAAAATAAGCCAGAAGCACATGTTCCGAGAAGGTTCCTGCGTTTCTTTTGCTTACACCAATCAATAAATTTCCTACAAGTTTTGTCGGAAGTAAATTTTCGGACGCCGCTTCCTCCACGTCAGGTGGCGTGCAATATGAATCCATGATCGCTAAAGGAATTACAGAAATTACTAAGGTCGTAATTTTCTAAAAATTGAAAAGATACTTACCTACAAAAAACTCATCCACAATTAAAACGTCAAATGGCTAACTATAGCAATATTGTTATAGTCACCACGGTCGACGCGTTCACGGCTACCTATAACGATTTGAAAACCATTATTTTGGCGTTATTCTCATGTTTGAAGAAAAAATAGCATATATTATGCGGAGCTAAAGTAACTTCTTCTGGTTCGTCAGTATTTTGCTGGCCTCGCTTCGCTCGGCCATCAAACGCTGACTCGCCATGAAAAGTATCACTTTAGCTCCTCATAATATAATATACTATTAATCGACCTATCTTAATTTGTTCAGTTAGAAAACAAAAACAAACGAAAACATCACTTATTTATTGTTATGGGAAAGAAAGAATTTCATTTGCTGCCAGTCACCATTGTGACAACCTTGGGATAGTGAAAATTAATTTATTGATTCAGATTTTAGTTCCAAAATGGTTTACACACTAGCCGAAATAGTACCTACAGTCAAATTAGACTAAAAAATGGGCATTCCGTGCATCAGATATGTCATCTCTATTTTTTCTTTTAAATTGTTAGGATGAACATGGATGTGAAAAATCCGTTTTCGACATTGAAAGACCTGTGCAAGCGACACAACACTTGAAAATATGTCATTTTTCTTACCATTTTTTGGTTTTTGTAAGTTTTACTCCTGAAGGGCCGATTTTAATGCAATTATTGTCGTATACTTTTTTAAACTAGACAAAATTTGTGACAATTCAAGCCCTTAACCGACTATGTAAGTCTAATAGTTTTGTAGATACAGCGTTTCAAAATTTCGTAAATTGTTCAGTTTTAATCAAATTTGCCTTTTTTTCGAATAAAAACATCATGAACATTTTTATAATTTTGTTCGTTTGGGGGGACTTTGTGGTGAGGAGTCCCCATAAATACGCACAGAAGGGGCTAAAATGTTGATATCCTCTGGATCCTCAGCTTCTTCCTTGATAAGAAAGTTGTCATCTTCTTCTTCTTCAGCATGATCCACTACATGTTGCTGTTTTTTGAACTAGACAAAATTTATGACAATTTAAGCCCTTAACGATCTCCGCAAGCCTAATAGTTTCCGAGATACGGCGCTTCAAATATTGGTAAATTTATTAGTTTCACAAGTTTTATCAAAATTTGCGTTTTTTTTCGCAGAAACTAAACTTACCAAATTTGCACGATGAATTGTCGTAAGTCGTGAGTCGTAATAAACTTGTTGAAGAAGTACTAAAAATTTCGGGCAATGAAAGCAAACGAAATATTGATTTTTGTCTTTTAGTGGAAAAATATCCATGTTTATATGTGATGGGTTATTCAAACCATAGTGTTGTGCTTTCTGTTACTGTCACAGATCTTCTATAATCGGTGTCCCTTGTCGAGCAAGGTCAGGCAAAAGGAAAAAATTCAAAGATTTCGCAATCCATGCAACAGGTAGTGGATCTTGCTGAAGAAGAAGATGATGACAATTTTCTTATCATCTGAGAAGCGGAGGATCCAGAGGATATCAACATTCTAGCTCCTTCTGTGCGTATTTATGGAGACTCCTCACCACAAAATCCCCGCAACCAAACAAAAGTATAATCATAATCATAATCATAATCTTTATTGATCCAATATATCCATTTTTGAATGTAGGACAAGTCAGACATCACGTTACAATAAAACTGCTAAAAACTGCATCGTAAGCTTAGGGCACATATACATTAAATAAATAGATAAAAGATAAAGATAAAATCACATAAAAACATTGGAACATATAGTATTAAAATTACAAACGTACAAACTACATAAAATATATAAAAAGTAATTAACAAGCTAAGTTTATAAATAGAATGTTTTGTTTATTGATCAATTAAATATTCTTGTGTGGTGTAAAATGCTTTTGATGTAAGAAGATTTTTGACTGTAGTTTTAAATTGTTTCAGAGGTAGCTGTTTAGTTGCATTGTCCATAGTTTGTTATAAAACTTTATTCCACAATAAAGTGTCGTGCTTTCATAACTACTTTTTTTATGACGAGGTACAGGTAACTGGTTTCTCCTTGTATTATACCCATTAATATCTTTTGGATTAACAGTGTTGTTTAAGATATATTTTTTGACTAGACATAAAATTTTATATATGAAAATACAAGGAACAGTATTAATAAAAATGGTTATGAGGTTTTTATGCGAAAAAAAGTCAAATTTGATTAAAACTGAAGAATTTACGAATTTTTGAAACGCTGTATCTCCAAAACTATTAGACTTACAGAGCCGGTTAAGGGCTTGAATTGTCACAAATTTTGTCTAGTTTAAATAAGTATACGACAATAATTGCGTTAAAATCGGCCCTTCAGGAGTAAAACTTACAAAAACCCGTAAATGATAAGAAAAAAGACATATTTTCAAGTGCTGTGTCGCTCGCACAGGTCTTTCAATGTCGAAAACTTGGATTTTTGACATCCATACTCAGTCTAAAAATTTAAAAAAAATAATAGAAATGACACATCTGATGCAAGGTATTATGATAATTTGACTGGACTAAAAGAGTGGAAAGAGTGGTGAAGTAGTTTTTGGTTAAAAAGTTTGTAATTGTACTCTGCTTGAGTGACAGATGTGCCAAAAAGGGCCTTTTCGATTTTGTATTTCAAATCGACATTGTTTCTTTTCTTCAATTCCGTTGAATTGTTCTTTTTTAGATCACTCGGATTTGTCACCCCTTCGAGTTTCTTTAGAATACTTTGGATGCTTCATCAGATTCTTTAATTTCCTTTAGTTCTTCCCATTATTTTATCTTTTGGACTTTTAAGATTTTTTGATTCTTTGGATTAGTCCGGTTCTTCAGTTTCAGATCCTTTAAATCTAATGTATGCCATTTGAAATTATTAATTTTCCTATTTTTCACGTTCACTATGAGCTTGTGATCCCGCCGTTTGCCTGGTACTTTCAGACCAGAATCCTAAGCACGATATCCTCCCTATGTAATTCTTCAGCGCTTTAGCATTCTTTCACAATGTGCAAATGTGGAAGCTAATTCGAAATGGCATTTAAAAATCAGTAATAATCGTTGAGTGGAGTTGTTGATGTAGTAGTTAGTGTTATTTAATTTTTAACCTGTATACACCTTGTTTCAGTCAGAACCTGGAAGCCCGGAGTGTATATTTGCCTTGAACCTTATGGGTACACTCATGTTCCAGATCACGTTGTATTGCGCTTACGGAAATGAAGTTACTGTTCAGGTAAAGTGTTATTTCTATTGTTACGTTTTTTACGGATGTCTTTGAATAAAATCAAGAACGATTTATTAAAGACTTTTACTCCGCTAGTCTTGTTGTTGGAACACTCCTTAATCTTATATTAATTGGAGAAGAGATGGAATTGATAAAGCGTGTAGGTACGTGGAAACACGTTCAAATGTGATAGTTTTAAATGAAAATGTAGGGACTATCGAACCAACATAAATTACATTGCAATATATTATTTTGTTCAGAACTATCAAATAGGTCTAATGAAGGACTTATCTAACACATTATTGGCTGCCTAGAAACTAGTCGTTGTGACTTTAACTTTTTCACTCGTATTGGTTTAATCATGTCTGTCTGTCTGTCTGCTAGTTTGAGATAAAATTAGCATTTGATATCACCAGCTCAAGATTTTGGAATTCGTTTCACCCTTTCCCCGCATTAGTGTAGAAAAAATTAATGTTCATTTCAATATATTTGTGATAAGTTATGCCACTGCATTGCATTTAATGGTGAACATTTTGAACATTCATTGCGATAAAAACCATTTTACTGCTAATTTCGTTTTGTCTTCAAGGTTTAATAAGAAACGTACACGTTCATTTGTTTTATTTTTTATGTAGGATATCTGGATTAATGTTATTGATCTAATTAAAATACATTTTTTTGAAAAATTTTCTTGAATACTAACATGTTATATCATCGAAAAGAGAAAACAATAAATTTTGAGATAGTAAAGTCTAATTGAACATAGCCCCTCTGATTAGCTTTGCTCGTTTCAAATTTCCGGAAATAAGTTTCGAAATAATTGCGAGCTTGAGAGTTGTGCTAAAACTGACTTTGTATACTGTTCTATATTCAAAGACAAAACAGTTTTCTAATAAAATCACGTTCCCGTCACTAGATGTTACATTACCTATTATAGCCAAAGAAATTCAGTTCGTGTACAAAACTTTTCCTATTCTTTCATCGTGTATGATGAGTGTCTCAAAAATCTACCACAAATGTCTGTAATAATGTAATCTTCGTAAATGGTAATTATTATTCTTTTTGTTATTCTAATAATCTAATGGAAACGTAATTGTAATGCAAATTTTAATGCTATTTTAGAGTGCTATGGTATTAGACGCTTGTTACATGACTGAATGGATCTATTGTGGCCCAGAAGTGCGTCGAAGTTTATTCCTTATTATGGAACGTTCGAAACGTCCGTTGGCGTTAACAGCAGGCAAATTCGTAAACCTTTCCCTTTCGTCATTGGTTTCAGTAAGTCCATGAATTGTGCAATTGACTCAATTGTAATTATTTTTTAGGTGATAAAATCTGCTGGTTCTTATGCAATGGTTTTGTATCAACTGTACCACTCCTAATCTATGTATCGCATCACGTCACATTTACACAAGTGTCTTTTTGAAATAAAGTTTGTGCACAACCATTTACATTTAAGTACTTATTGTAACCGCTATTTCCATCTATTCATTTGCTGAGAAGTAATTTTTAAAATACTAGGAATATTTTGTGTAGTTCGATTCATTTGTATATGTACGTTTATCTTTAAGTAAGGATCGTTAGAAATATCACATCACTCTCTCGAATACATTTCACACCTCCGTGATTACTGCACTCGTATTCGCCGCGTGTGGGAAGATCTCGTATGTAGGTAACATTCATTGCATAGTAGGCACTACAGCACTGTGTAATGACTAATGAGCCACTATTTCACAACTGTCTAGTAATATACGTAGTGAAATAAAAAGTAATGTGAGTGTGGTTCCTACATTATTTCATTTGATTTACTCATTAGACAACAAACCGAAATAATCATCACAGTAACGGATTGGCGTGTAGTTTGAACATATAAATTCACTTTACTTATGTTCAAATTGATGCCAAAAGAGGATTATGATTAGAAACTGTCAGTTGTGATCAGAATTTGGTTCCTCCATTTCTTAGTGTTCTAAATATACCTAAATGCAAGCCCTTGGTACCCACCACGAAGTTATACTTGAAAAATGTGCTAACATGCAAATGCATTAAATGCGATTCCGTAGTTATGGAAAGGCAAAGCGCATACATTACACGTTAGCAATTGTCATATCATACAACAATCGATAGCTTTCCAAAAATATGAACACCGACTTCTCAAAAAAATCGGATACATACTCCGTTGATTAGTCGCCTTTTACGACACGCAGTGCCTCTGCGGTAGGGTTATTCTACTACCCGTCCCCACACGGGGATTAAATTTCGCGTATACTCGTGTCCGCCTTCTTGTCCAGTAATATATATTTATTAATTTAAAATCCAGTAACTATACACCGCGTATGTACTACTAACTACAGTAAAGAGTCTATAACGTATACTCTTTGCTACAGTACAGTCTGTTTGATTTTAGCTGTCACAGCGGATATCACGGCTACTATTCTAGATATGATATAGATTATAGAAGAAACATTGTTCAAGATATAAATTTGCATTATCTGGTATAGCCAAGAAAATAATTGAAAATTTCATGTAGTAGGTGCAGCGGTGCAGCAAATATTCAAAACTTCAAATATAATATAATTTTATTGCATATTCTAAGTGTACAACATTCCCTTTCCAATGATATATCATATGTAAATTCGACATAAAATGATGTACAGTCATTGACAAAAGTAATGGTCGCCTAATAGGTAAACCCTTTGGAGCATAAGGAACGAACATGCCTATAAGTCCTATAACATCGGGCTCCGTGAGTTTCTTCAAGGAGGAGATACCATCATTTGTTGGTGTTCGGATTCCCAAGTTGCACAATATATTCAAATGTTGCAGAATTTCCCTATTCGGCGATCATTACTTTAGCCAAAGTCTGTACGTCCTTAGCATATTCACTTTTTCATCATTCGAATAATTATCACCCATTTCGTAATTGTTTCTATTTATTTTAATTATTCTCTTCTAATGAATGGCGCCCCCGTGCCGCCCTCTACATTAAAAAAAAATGTTCTGTAATAATTGAAACTGACCGTCTGCGTCAGCGAGAAGAAAGTCACAATTCGCCATTATTCTTTTAGTATTTATTCTTTATACTTGCTTACATGATGCGGTCGATTCGCGTCGCGAAATTCACTCCCATAAATTAGGTTTTGAAGCAGGAAATGTTCCCACATCTCAGAAAATTCAGCGAGGCGAAGAATTCGCGCCTATAAATTATACTACTAACTATAGAATTCGCGTATGGGATAATTTTCTCTCAATGTACCCTACCTAGTAAATTTAAGAAATCCGGTTGTCGAGGAAAATAAGTGAGTTCTCTCAAAGGCAAATTCAAAATTCCTTTAAGGTGAACTTTTTTGGTGGCAGTAATATTAATAACGTTGATTTGCCCAACGGTAACAAGAAGATCAATGTCTAAGCAAAAGGAAGTTGAGAGCAAACTACACTAATATTATAGTATTAATATGTTCACAACAAACAAAAACGAAACGAAACGAAAACATCCTCTAAGAGCTAAGTACGTAAACATTAAACGTACAATAGGAACAATTACATTATATAAAAAATGAGTGAGGGTATAACAATGCATAGTATCAACTGTCCACTAATATGTAAGAGTTTTATTTTCTCAAGTACATTTTCCAAATTGTATCGTATTTAGTGCTGGATTATAAAGTCGAGCTTTGGAATGCGCATGCCTTCTTTCGCTTGATTTATTTCTTGAGCACGTTTGTAGACGGAAACTTTTAAGCGGAGTGTATAAATAACTTCCATGTTGGTTTAATTGCAAATTTTTAAATATAATTATACTCTGGCGATTTACACGATTGTTTCTGCGATTCAAATTGGTTTGGACCGAGTTTCTAAACTTTTTCTGCCATTTTGGAGGCTTTAAGTTGGATTTATTAAATATGTAAGTGGCCGCCATTTGTTAAATCATTTGTTATCTCACGCATTCTTTTTAGGAATTCTGTATACAGGGTGTAGAATTGGTTTACGCAGTATAGGTATTTCTTTATATTGACATATTTTCTATTATAGCAAAGTTGTAAATAATTTTTTATAGATTTTAAAATTCTGCGTCCATTAAGTAAGTAAGTAAGTTTACTACTGCAGCTGGGTAAGCTACAATAAAGTGCCAGAGAGTAGATGAAACTTATGAGGTTGGAAATAATTTAGTGTTGTTAGTGATCGTGCATTTATTTATTAGAATAATAATTTTTTTTTAATTTAATAATACGTTGGATTGGGACTGTATGGAAGAACAGGGTCTCTCGGCACTGAATGCAGTCCCTTTCCCAGTTCTTATTAGTGTTTTTTTTTTTTTTTTTTTTTTTTTTTATTAAAGGCATCGACAGCTAACGTCATTAGCCTATTATATGTCTAACCTACGCAAAACTACTTATAGTTTTCCGAATATACAATTCAATTCCTTTAAAAAAGCTATTAATTTTCTGATATTTCCAGCTGTTCGGGTCATTTCTAGTGGGTTCGCAGGTAGCTCAAAACGTCCCCTACTGATCGCCAACTGGGGACACACATGTAAAATGTGTTCGACAGTGATCTGTTCCCCACAGTAAAGACATAGGGGAGGAGGCTCACCACGTAATAGGAATGTGTGTTATTTGTAGAGTTTTGATTTTGTTTTATGGTGAATAAATTATATATTATTATTATTTTGGTGTGGGAAATAGGAGAAATTAAGGAAATTATAAATTAGCATTTTAGTAAAAACATTTCTACGCAAATGCAACGTCATGGAAATGTGCAGACAATAAAACCTTGTATCTACGGATGCTACTCCCTTAACAGGCAACATAAACTTCTGAACTTAAAAAGGAGGGCTGCCGCTCTCACATTCTACAATAGATTATCAGAGAGAAACATTGACGAAAAATAGCATGCCTCGTATCAAATTTTTGTAAAATTGTTACGCTTTATTATTGAAATGAACCTTGAAACTGGTGGGTGTGTTTTACTACTTCTATCATCTAACCATGGATCTACTCTCATACACATAATAATCGAGTGTGCTGGTCATTGTGCATCATACACACTCGAGGTATTAGAAAAGTCAGTAGCCAATTAAGACAAGGGCTAATTTGAAAGCCTGAGTGAATTGGTACAATATTCCGGAAAGGAAGTTTTGTAGCGAGATCTGCAGTACCTACAAATTTTCCTGTGCTCAGATTTCTTGGGGTAAATTTTATTTAGCTAATCGATTTTACAGGGGTGAATTAATATGGATAGAATTTACGTTAGCTTTAAACCCGTGGTTAGAAGCTTACATTAAACACTAGAGGTATTCAGAAAAAGTAAAATAGTATGTGTACCTCGTAGTAAAGGCTTACCAATCTACTATTTCGTTAAGCAAGAGAAATAGACAATCTTATCAACCTTCATCGTCATCTGGTGTCACCGACAATCTTGTCGCTACCACACCAACATGACGTCTTTACCAAACTCCCCTTATAAAAACTTACAGCGTAGTAACCTTTGAATATAAAATTTAGTAAACAGGATTAGAAAATCTCCCCCAAAGGGAAGTACGTTATAAAATTAGTCTCTCTATTATTAATACACGTTTGTAATTGCACCCAGTGTGTTATTTAATAAAACGCAACACTTTTATTAATCCTCTTAAGTAACTTACGTACATTATTCAGAGGATGAGGGGGTTGCACAATGTATTCGAGAGAGTCACGAAATACAAGCGAAAAATCAAAAACAAATATTGTTACAGTTATTTATTTAATAAGGAAACACAAACCTTGTACATTACATAGTTCAACTCAGTTAATGCGATACCTGAACTGGTTTGGAATCAACTATTGTAGACGATTTTATTGTGTATTTAAAAAAAATTATAATTCACAGGGGGGTTGGCAAAATGCTCAAATCCAAAAAGAGGACCGCAGTGTCTAAAAGGGTGGGAACCTGTGAACCACTGAATTATATTATATTTACGAATAAGTACCTTTTGATTCATATTAATACAATTACCATGTGCTGTACTAGATACATAGGTATACTTCTAAACTTCCATGTACCAAACTGACTAACAGTGCAGATTTTGCGTATAATACAGCAAAAGGGTGTCGGTGATTGCCAGTTCGGTAGATTGCCGCTATTGTGCATATAAGAGATTATGCATTATAAAGTTGATATAAAACCACTGCATAAGAAGCGGCTGACCTAAACACCTGCAATTAAAATGTAAAAGGTCGACTAAAAGAATGTGTTAACCTTACTGAAACAAGTGATGTAAGTGATAGATTAATAAATTTGCCAGCCGTCAAAACCATTGGTCGCTTGGACCGCTCCATTATTAGGAAGAGATTTTTGCGAACTTCAGAGCCACAGTAAATCCATTCCGTCATGTAACACGCTTCCAAGACCTTATAGCTCTGAAAATAATATTGGGATATGATATACAGTACCATGACATTAATTACCTGAAGCGTTACTTCGTTGCCGTACGAACAGTACAATGTAATTTGGAACATAAGTGTACATAGGAAAGTTAAGGCAAACATAAATTCCACACTTCCGGGTTTGGACTGAAACACACGTTTACATTATCTCAGTACACTGTGGCACGTACGACTTGTTGAGTGCACAAAATAAAGCAGTAATACTAATAGTTAAAATTCATACAGGATGGAATCTTCAGCATATTCAGTTGCATTTTACATTGGGCAGTGGGGTACACTTTACAACCGTGACTAGACAACAAGTTGTTTTATATTTTTGCAGTTGCATTCTCGGATTTGCATTTACATTCTACAACCAAAATTATGTGTTGCGCTATTTTAAATCTTAAAACTGTGTAGTCCAGTAAACGGCGATTATTATTATATGAACCAATTAAAAATTGAGGGTTTAAGGTAATAACGCCAAGGGATGAAGAGAATGTAAAATAGATGTGTTACTTTTCGAAACAATTCATAATATTTCCTTGTCGATGCGCCAGTCTGTATAAATAATTATTTGTGCACATTTAAACGTTTCTCATTTGAAATAGTATTTAAAACAGTGATATATATCTGTACTTTTAAGCACTTCAACTCTTATAGTAATTCGGCTATCATAGCAAGCTTTAATGAGTGAACATTACACAAATACCTATAAATTAGGAAGGGAAGGCTATTAGAGCGTAAGTATACGTTTAAATAATCCAAAAGAATTACCTTAAATGCTCCGTTTTGGCCTATTAATAAATTAAGCAAATCATCGAATGATACCTATTGTAAGTACGCACCTCGGTTATATCATTAAATCACTAAAACAGTCTACTTGATTGTAATACAACCACTTTCCGTGGTATTTACCTATGTTATACATTTAGGGTCGGTTTTGCTTATCTAATTCAAACTTAGCAATATCTGCCAAACATTAATTATGCGTATTATATACCATACGTAGGGATATAGTCCACAACAGCCATGTCCAACCCATTTATCATCAAGGGCCATTCTAAAGTTTCCACATATAGCTGCAGGCCACAGTATACAAAGTTCACATTCAGAAAATTTTGATGTTTTATTATTGTAACAGTTTAGTTTATTTATATTCAAATTTCAAAATTACCGCTTGCTACGTTAGGCAGGATATAGGTGAGATGGCGTCACTTGTACGCGTGCTTCTTTCCTCGCGCAGAATCGCGTAATTTTTTTCACTTCATTTCCGTTTTAAAGCCAACGAGGTTGTACTTGTAGAGCGTGGCATTGTGAATTCTTCTTAAACCAGTGGGTAATATTTGCCATCATTCACGTAAAATCTCTGGCAATTTTACCTGTTTATTGGCGTTGTCGAGTAGAGTAACTCAGAAGCCGTTTTCTCCGTTGTGAGGCTATATCTGGTGGAAGTTCATCGCCCTACCTACATATTCACAACCTCTTGGATAATTTCCATATTTCATTGATTTAAGTATTTTTCATTACCTTCATTACTTTTAGGGGGTCCATGTAGTAGACGAATTCTTGTACCGGTCAATCCATGTAGTAGGTCAATCCTTGTACAGACGAATCCTTGTATGTAAATGAATTTGCATCTTGCGAATATTCCGGAGTACGAACACCTGTTGATTGCCGGCAGTTATCCGGCGTACCACCGAGTAGATAAGCGCTAACACCTAAACGATACCGGGAGCGACCAGCTGATGGTGGAATTTTCGGAAGATACGATCTTTTACACAACCTTTTTTTTTATTTGCTTCAATACCGTTAATCTAGTGTAACCTTCCGACGATTTATGATCGGAGCTTTATATTTTGTTCGCATCTAGTGTTTTGAGGTCGTGGCTCTCTTCAAGAGCAACGCACCTGTATTTAACGTATGGGTAAACGAGCCGGCTACGAGTAAGCTATTTTTGGCCCTTCTGGCTCATATAATCGTTCCGAGCGTTGTAGCTTGGGGTTTGTTTTTGTGTTACAGAACTGGAACTTCGAAGGAGAGCTCTTCTTCGGAGAAGACAGCGTATGTGTTATTCAAGGTAAGATTTTTAATTTACTTGTACCCAGTGTTGCCTATATGAGTTGTTATTCGGGTTAACTTAATTCAATCTTTGGATCCATTGAAATCTTAACTACATTTTTGCTCGATCATTGTTGTAGGGGGCTGGTAACGTAATTATTAGGGAAGTGTTCAGGAATTTATTTGGGGATTATTTTTGTCATTTAAAGTATTTGTTATTGTCGTATTGAAGATACATTTTATTTGCCGATCCTGCACCGTTTTGTCAGGATTAATAAAATCAGAATTGCTCGTAGTGAATTATTATTTGGCTCTCTTGTGTTTTCCCAATTTCTATACAGGAGAGGTCAGAATTTGTGCAAAATTGGGTGGCGCTCAACTAATCATTTCTAGTAACTACCAAAGATCAAAAACTTATGTTATATGCCCAAACGAACAAACCGCTGTGGAAGATTCTCATCTCGAGCCCTTCTTTTAATTAAGAATCTGAGCTAGCTGGCCGTTTATGCGGCGGGGTTTGAGTTTTACAGCGCCGAACTAACCTCACGTTATATTATCGACATAAAAAGTATACAAAATAATACAACAAAACGAAAACATTCAAATAAAATCATAAAACCATTAGTGACCCGCTCAAGAAAATGTACAGTGCCTCATTTTGGTTGAGACTGATGCAGTGTATATCAGTATATCAGCTCTGATTTTTTAAAGACAGAGACTTGCGGCGTGCCACTTTTTTGTGAAACTTAATACAGACAGACACAATCTTGTTTGTTTCTGAGATGAAAACGAAAAGTTTGACTTTTGGGATGTTATTATATCTTACTTACCGATGTAAGATAGAAAAGATAAAAATTGCTTATTTTAGATATTTTTACGTAGAATCCAGTGGCGTAGTCAAAAAACAATTTCTGTGGTTCGACCCAAACTTGGTATTTTTTAATGTCACACCCTGTATATTTTAACGCCAATTTTTTGCATTCTTTATCGTGATTACATTGATGTATCATTCTATATTTTTTTATATAATTATATATTTTATCATATTTCTCAAAATTTTGAAGTGACATGTTTCTACCGTCAGCCATTTTTATTGATTGCTATCGGCTGCCTTAGTTACCATGGATACAATAAACAAAACAGAATCTCCATGAATTCATAGCCTACTATTTAAAAACAAACGCAAGTAGATTGATTCTGTTTGTGGTTTCACAAAGAAGTGGGCCAAGGTCGCAAAAACCGCAAATGTTTATCTTTAAAAACAGCTGATAGTATCAAACAAATTAGGACATGCGATACAATTCAATTTTATAATTTGCAAACATCGTGACGGGCCGCAGATTGCAGAACGCTTTTTATACGGAACTGTGTTGCTAGGGGCAGTGTAAAATTGAACATTTTCAACTTGGTAGTTGATATCGGTTTTTCAAAGTAAATATTTTTGAATTTTGTTGCTGACTTCAGCCACATAAAAACAAGGGAAGCAGTATCATTTAAATCTCAACATGCTTGTATTGTTATATATCCACATAATCCTGCTTCCAATGTCAGATCATCAAAATCATCTCTAAAGATCGGAGGCAAGATGGAGTAAATATATCACACAAGTAAGATCAATTCTAAAAATACAGTTTCAAATATGTGTTCGGAATGACACTATGAATATCTCTAACGAAAACTTTAGTGATTCTGATCAGAAAGTTAAAACACTCTGAACACATATGAATGTAAACGGTGAGGAATGAAGGCCCTTTCTTTCAATATCTTGCAAAGAAGGAAATCGGCAACAATAAATATCTGAAAATATGAAGCAAACTGGGGCAGGATCGCAGTAGCACAACCTTGTTTCCTAGCCAGGCCCCGGGTTATAAATGCGTTAACTGGGCAGTGGGTTATAGCTCAGAACGCCACTTTCTGGGGGCGGCAAGATATGCTAAATTATTTTTTATTTTCAATTTAGATCTGGACTTGTGGATAATTTTTGTCAAACGAAATGTGCCAAAATAATTATCATTCAACGTTTGGAGTAAAAAGCTGTTTATTTCTGCCAGTGGGACATTCCTCTCCTCTGTGGTTCTTGGTGCATTTCGTTTCAAAATTAATACAGATAAATAACCCTGTGAAGCTCGGTCACTAAGTACATAATGTAACTATTATAAACATTAGTTATGGGGGCGCCAAGCTAAGTGTAGCCCAGGGCGCTAAAAACATAGCCCGGGGCCTGTTCCCAGTATTGCCAAACTTGACGACCTTCTGAAATATGTCAATTGTCAATAACAGAACAGAATAGCTATTAATACTTTGGTGTTTAAATCTACGCTACTCGATTGACTGGATTGTATATCCATCTCCCTATTCTATTTCATGCATATGGCCTAGTTAGGCTCCATTTAATTAGTTAATTTTTGTATTTTTCTCACTATCAACTTACGGATACCGATGTAAATCCGGTGAGGCAGATTCCAAACGCGCTGGATAAAAACTGGCTCAGAAATACGTAAGAGAATATGTGCTCGATAGTTTCAGTAAATCTATAAATTGAATGAATGGAAAGTGTAACATTTGCGTGAACTTACTTAATTACAGCGAGATGATGTTCTATACATTTGCTTAGGTCATGGTATATTTCCTTGTCAAACTTCTTGTAACTGTGAATATTTCTAGTACGTTGTAGTTTTCGTGTCGTCGATATGATAGTTTCCGTTAAAATTGCGAAGTATGCAGAGCAAAGACCCATCATGCTTGTAGACAGATTATCAAATCCGACACTTGAGGAGCCGGCCACCACCAACACCACGCTCTGATACATG